TCTCCCTTAGAAATGTGATATCCTTCCTGGAACCATGAAATACAACTTCTTTGAGAAGTTCCTAACGGAAGTTCAATCCTGCATACTCGGCACTTCTCAGCGCAAGACTGGCAAGGCCACAATCCATTTATTAGCTATAAAATGCGTGCCATACTTAAAGTGGCCAATTTTGAGAAACTAAACCTGCCAAATTCTTCGAAAAGAAGATCAATCACGGAAAAAATAACGCAGCCTCATCCAGTAGATCCGTCCCATGATTAGCCGAGGATTTCCTGTCTCCTAAGAAAAAATTCCCCAAGCGGTTATGTATCTGCGCTTTGAGAAGAAGTGCAGTCATTTGATGTTCCATCCTTGGACTAACATTCAAAGCGAGCAAGCCTTGCACGCTTTATCCAGAATGCTAGACAGACATACGAGGCGTATTCGAACCTTTGTACTCGATTGAGCACATACAGGATGCTTCAAACACAGGATCGATCAAGGAAGCTGCCGCAGTTTCACGACTTCATTATTTGTCCGCACCTTTCTTCATATTCCTTCCTCAAATACCGAAAGAAGTTATACACTCTTTTGTGGAGAAAAAGCAGCACCACTTCTAACGCACAAAAGCTGGAGAACTAATTGAGAACTTTCTTCGGTTCAGCTGCTCTTCAAAGTCATGCAAAACCAGGCACTTTGGCTACACTGTGCGTCTTCAAATTTCGAATAAATGATTCAAAATCAGGTCGAATTTGTTGTTGTTTTTCAACGAATGCTGCGAAAGAAAGGACGATGCGGGATTGGAACGCCAGATTCAATTCACAGGATGTAATTCTTCAAGATGATGTCCGTTCTGTGAGGAATGCTCGTGAAATAGACGAGTTTCTGAAAGAAGTGGTAGAGGCCGAGAGGGGTAATGTGAGGTGTATGGCAAAGCTTAGAAATTTGGCAGAAAAGCTTGGAGTTTCCAAGGGTATCCCTCGCTGAATCACCTGCATTCAATGGGAAAAAGTATTACCACTGAGCCCCTGACGAGTTTACTGCTAGATGACAGTGCACATGGCGTGTACACCAATTCTACATCGTAACATGAACCAGCCATTTTGTATTTTCGTATACTAAGATGCAATGGAACCTGGATTCTGCGCGAAAATTCAGAAATGTGACGAATGGGTTGGCGAATACGAGCTCCCTCGGTTCCATCCAGAGAAGGTCATTCTCACTGTCTCACGGTCTACCGTATGCGTGATTCACTACAAGCCCACGAAGCAGATCAGGCAATAACGTCGGAGCTCTGACGTGAATAACTGATCTTAATTCGGAAAACTGTGACAAGCTGTCTAGCTCCGGTTAACCAAAAAGGTTCGAATCTCTTGTACACAACGCCAGACCGCATGATGAAAGATGCACCATGCAAAGTAAACCGGGAATTGATGTTCTGCAGCACGCATTTTCTACTGTCTACGAACTACCACTCCTTCGCTCCCAAATCATTTTTGGAGGAGAAATCGTTCCGAAATTTAGAGAATGTTGAAATGGCTCTTCAACAGCTCTCAAGTTCAAAGTGTTCAAATTTTTACTGGAAGGGATTCATTCCTTTGCAGAACGTTGGAAAAAATGTCTTGCATCTAATGGTTTTAATTTCGAATAAAAGTTGTGTTTGAATGGAGTTATGGCTTTCAAAACTTATGCGTTTAGAAAGGCGCATAATCTCTGACCGACCCAATAGGACCAACGACCGAATCACTGCTCACGGATGGACACGAAGGAGGGGTACTGGAATACTCTCCGTGTACGCACCGCAAGCCGGATGCCCCGAAAGTGAAAAGGACGAGTTCTATCTGAGCCTTGACGATGCCATCAGAATCGATTCCGGAAGGCGATTACCTGACCATAGCAGGTGATCTGAATGGCACGTCGGCAGTGATAGAAGAGGCCTGGAAAGGGTGCACGGAGGTAGAGGGACCAGAGCGAAAAATGCCGAAGCTGCAGCATGTTTTTCGCGAGAAGAGACTAAGAAGGGAACCCAGAGCTGTGAAGGAGAACAATCGACCTCGTTCTCATGAAAAGATCATCCCTTAGCACAGTGAAAATCATCATCCCCTGGCGAAGTCTTGCCTGTGCGGCACAGGCCTCTGATGGTAGACATCAACGTAAGCCTCGCAAAGAAGACAAGGGAAGAGCCGAGCGGAGAATCCAAGAGTGGAGGATGCGTCAAAAGGAAAAGGGCGGCCTCAAACCAATTATAATAAAAGTTGCTCTCACAGGTGCGATGGATCATCGCGGAGGACCTGGAGCAACGCGGCTGAAACTATCCTACGATGCGCCGAGATACTGGGCGAGACGCGAAATAGAAGAAGGGAAGACAAGGCAAATAAGAAAAATGGCATGCTATTAGAAGATTGGCCGATGGGCACTTTCGAAAAGCGGTTCACAACTACTCAATCCAATCTTCCATTACTGGTGTGGGCTGTGCTAACATGAGCTTCATTTCTGGTGTACAAACTACGTTTATGCAACAGAGATAAAAGTATACCTTCGCATTCAACCAGCGTCCAACCTCTTCTAAATTCTCTAACGTAGCGCTCATCCCAATTATGCGAATTGAGGCAGACGGATTCCTGAAAAGTTTATAAAAGTTACAGAATTCAGAAACGAGTCCAGCCTTGAGTTTTGATTGGATGCAGCTATGGCATGAATGTTGCGAAATCCGCGTTTGGGAAGAGAGTTGTCTTGTTAGGACCACTGGTGTCCCAATAGTGCCATTTCGAAAATATTGCGACTCCATGAGGGAGGAGGAGGAGGGTGTACTACCTTATCCAAAGGCTAAGGGTACAGATATTGTTGTTGAGAATGCCACTATTTGAATCTCTGGACACACTCTAACTCCGACTTCAAAATTCTTCTGAAGCGAGAATGTTGGAGAAGCTAGAAAGACTAACATAAGGGGATTCCTTCAACGCAATCCTTGAAACTAAAGAAGGTTCCAGTAATTGCACCGATGTGATAACTTTACTAGGAAACGAGCAAGCGAAAATACTGAGAAATGATGGTGACATCGAGGACACTGCAAGCTCAGCCACAGTTCGGAGAACCACATATCTTTTATCATGTGCCCCTCGACAACCGTTCGCAGATTGACTTGCCAACATGACCAGCCTCTCGAGCCATGCTACTGAGTCTCAATCTAAAGTAAATCTCAACTAGGATGAGCTCGCCCATCTCTTGCGGAAAGAATCTGGCAACAGAGATAACTGCAGTTTATTTGATATTTATCCAACAAATCTTGCTTTGAACACCATTTGAAGAGCTCAATCTACTGGTATACCTACCGCGAATTCCAAAGCATAATTTTCGCACAGAGCGACTCCAGCACAGCACCACGCGATGAGTCGTAGACCATGTGCAGCTCATCGATAACCACCAAACCTTCAATACTTGCATTTTGAACGCAAACCGAAGAAGAAGATTGAATTTGTGTACCAATTTCTTCTATATGTCCGTCAAGAATGGCGTGGTTTATAAGACTGTTAGCCTTTTCAGTGGTGCACACCGCAGCTGTCCACTCTCGTGAAGGGGCCGATTGAGCTCCGACGAAGGCCGCCACTTGTATATCTACTCGCCGCCAAGCTCGCTGAAATCAGAATGTATTGGAACAGTTCACCAAAAGCAGTGCCCCATCTGTTCAATGTTTGTTGGGTGCCCATTTAGTGGTGCATCGACCTTCCATTGATTGATCTCCCCACTAGTATGCTTTCTTTTCTAACTCCCCCCAGTAATCACCACACTCTGAAAACAGTAATTGTGGTGTAACCGTAGCTGGAGGTGGGGGGAAGGCGTAGTCGGCGTCTTCCACCTTGAAACGGGGATTTCATGACTCACGGAGCGTAGGCAGTTCAGGTTAGGGTGATTCGAGTAACTTTACAAGAGTGAAAGCTACAATGTGCAAGCTCGCACCATCAAGTCGAGAGGGAGCGAACATGTCGTTCGCAGCGGCGGCGACTGTCTTTCCTCACCCTCTTCCACATTCCCACGATTCCCATCTCTTTACCACAGCTAGCTATACAATTTGATTCCCAATTTGATCACCGATTAGCGTGTGTTGACGCACTCGTGGTGATGGTGAATTCCGAGTACAAAAATATTTCCTAAATCAGAACATTCACTCCGGGGCATATCAATACCGAGATGGGGAGAATGATGACGTGCTTTCTTTTAAACAACTGCTGGTTGTTAGAAGCCCGACGAAAATCCAGTCGCCCAGTGAAGGAGGAACCCAGGAAAACCTCGACAGTTTTCAATTTCCACTCTAGAATTCGTGAGTTGCGTTGGATCCAAATCTTTTTTGCCAGAGGTTGTATAATTAAGTTAGCAAACTGGAAGCAAAAAATCAGCTCCACATCGAAATAACAAGCCTAACCTAGAGGAAGTACTTTCAAGAATCCCTACGATAAAACAGTCACTGTGAACGATGTGCATAGAACATGTTCACTATAAACACCACAATCTGATCCTGGTTGACAAACTGTCGCTATAAACTTGAAATATGCACAAAAGATCAAACCCTTGGGGTGTCGTTGCATCGGTTGACACTGTCGCCAATGTGGCAAAAACAGCACTTGAGACAAAGTTCGGACCTCGCCCCCTCGAGACAGCCCAGAATCTAGGGAAAAGACGATGCGATAAACAGATCCAAGGAAAAATGGGCATTTCGTCAAGCATTCGCTATCCATGAAGAAAAGTGCCTTTGATAAGGAATTACTCAGAGAAAATCAATTTAGCAAGTAATTCGATCTCAAGGCAATTCGAAACATAAGTGAAGGAATGAAAGAGAAAGCGCTCAAAAAATCGCCCCCGAAGAAGCGCCTTTTAGGATGTAAAGAGAGGGCTCTGTTGTGAACGGAAGTCTCTCTGTAAACTTGCACGAAAAAATCACACCCGTTCTTAGACAGCACAGATGTTGAGTAGCAGAAATGAAGAGTTCCAAGGGAATAAAGGAGATGAGCCCCAAGGCGCTACGTATCCTAGTGTCCAAGTAGGAGAGGATTGTTTGGCCACATTTGCTATTCAAGGACACGGCTCAGGATCAAATAATTAAAGCAGAGTGCGAACTGCAGAGCATCGTCGAAAACACGAGAAAAAAACAGACATCTTGACGTTTCTATAATCAAGAAAGCGAGGATTAGACTGAGAGATGAAAATGGGCGTCGAGGAGAAAGAGATTTTCCGAGATGAGAGATAATGCAGATCAGCGACGATTGTAGATGATACGATACTACCACGGTTGGCCGAAGGACTAACAGTGCGGACAGACCAGCGCTGACGTCGTTTATTCATTTCTAGAAGACCTTCTTGCATGAGAGCCTCGCGTTGCATCGTTCACTACCACTGCTCCTTCCCGACATGTTGGCAACACTTCGCGCATGCCATCGTAGGTCTGCTTTTGACTTCGCCAGTCATCACATACCAAGTTACTTGCACGCACTACAGTGCGTTTCAAAAGTATGTGGACACCTCAAAATTCACGATAAAAAGGTAACCAAGAGGTTTCGTGCTATGAAATCCTTCTCAATCGATTTCTCGTAGTCGATAACCTATCAATGGAAGCAAAGCAGATAATATCGCCTCACTTTCGGAAAAAATTTTGGATTGAATTTTTTTCTTTGTTTCAAAAGTATGTGCACACTTGAAGAAGATCAGATTTTGGCGCCGAATTTTCCACCGATTTCAATCCGACTTTGCTGTTTTCATTTCGTCATCATGTCAATTCGCGCCATACTTCTTCCTGAAGATGAGCAAGCTCAGATCAAGGTTCTGCATGATATGAACGTTCCAATCTAGAAATCGCACGATAACTTGGTCGTTCTCCTTAATGCATTCGAAGATTATCCGGCACCCTGATAATTATACTCACACACTCCGCTCCATCCACGATCCTTGACTGCTCAGAACAACAAAAGAGTAGCCCACATCCTGTCGGATTCTTCATTGACAGTCCGAGCTCAGATTTTTATTCCAGCCTCGAAAATGACCACTAAGCCCCTCATCCGCTCAAATGAATACACCACTCGACAGACGCTGAGAAAGGCTACTCACTTCAAGGCCTCAGCACAAGTTAGCCACATTGGAGTCTGCTCGTACAAACATGGCAACATAGGATAGGACACCGGGATAGACACGGTTTTTCGAGAATTTTCTATTTTCAAAACAAGCAACTTTTTATAACTTTTCTCCTCAGGTAATCTTAACTCATGGAAAGAGTTCGATCTTGACGGGGCCGGGTGAATTTTCGCTACAGCTGGAATGTACTGGCCCGTGAAGTCGGCTGTCTTCTGTCGAGGAGGTCGGAGAATTGTAGACGGGTCTGGGTAATAAATACAAACAACTTGGGAAGTGAAGTTCCAGCTCTAGTGAGACCTCGGTCAGACTCGGCGATTGCGTCGCTGGACACCAGCGACGGAGCCGCCAGCGACGGAGCCGCCAGCGACGGAGCCGCCAGCGACGGAGCCGCCAGCGACGGAGCCGCCAGCGACGGAGCCGCCAGCGACGGAGCCGCCAGCGACGGAGCCGCCAGCGACGGAGCCGCCAGCGACGGAGCCGCCAGCGACGGAGCCGCCAGCGACGGAGCCGCCAGCGACGGAGCCGCCAGCGACGGAGCCGCCAGCGACGGAGCCGCCAGCGACGGAGCCGCCAGCGACGGAGCCGCCAGCGACGGAGCCGCCAGCGACGGAGCCGCCAGCGACGGAGCCGCCAGCGACGGAGCCGCCAGCGACGGAGCCGCCAGCGACGGAGCCGCCAGCGACGGAGCCGCCAGCGACGGAGCCGCCAGCGACGGAGCCGCCAGCGACGGAGCCGCCAGCGACGGAGCCGCCAGCGACGGAGCCGCCAGCGACGGAGCCGCCAGCCACAAGAGTGGGCAACGGGCGATGACTCATCACACGATCGATCGATCACACTACTAATTTGTATGAAATTTTGGAATGTGGCACTTCGCTCGGCGACATAATAACTAGTCTTTTACATAATTAAGCTTAAGGTAAATTAGCGATCAGGACCTCTAAGTCTTTTCATAGTTTTAAGACACAATGAGGAGTTTGAACTATATCAAAATACTTTTGTACGTATGAACTTCTAGAGTTTTTAACCACCATCCCTTTGAAATCCGAGTTAGCCTTCCAAACGTTCAATTCGTTTCCCAACAATGTGTACTATGAAAGCTCTCATCTGTAGTTACATTTTGTCTTTTTGCACGCTACGTCCAAATCCGCATTGTCGTCAAAGGGTTAATCTCCCCCCTGCCAACCGATATCGATCGTGTGATGAGTCATCGCCCGTTGCCCACTCTTGTGGCTGGCGGCTCCGTCGCTGGCGGCTCCGTCGCTGGCGGCTCCGTCGCTGGCGGCTCCGTCGCTGGCGGCTCCGTCGCTGGCGGCTCCGTCGCTGGCGGCTCCGTCGCTGGCGGCTCCGTCGCTGGCGGCTCCGTCGCTGGCGGCTCCGTCGCTGGCGGCTCCGTCGCTGGCGGCTCCGTCGCTGGCGGCTCCGTCGCTGGCGGCTCCGTCGCTGGCGGCTCCGTCGCTGGCGGCTCCGTCGCTGGCGGCTCCGTCGCTGGCGGCTCCGTCGCTGGCGGCTCCGTCGCTGGCGGCTCCGTCGCTGGCGGCTCCGTCGCTGGCGGCTCCGTCGCTGGCGGCTCCGTCGCTGGCGGCTCCGTCGCTGGCGGCTCCGTCGCTGGCGGCTCCGTCGCTGGCGGCTCCGTCGCTGGCGGCTCCGTCGCTGGCGGCTCCGTCGCTGGCGGCTCCGTCGCTGGCGGCTCCGTCGCTGGCGGCTCCGTCGCTGGCGGCTCCGTCGCTGGCGGCTCCGTCGCTGGCGGCTCCGTCGCTGGCGGCTCCGTCGCTGGCGGCTCCGTCGCTGGCGGCTCCGTCGCTGGCGGCTCCGTCGCTGGCGGCTCCGTCGCTGGCGGCTCCGTCGCTGGCGGCTCCGTCGCTGGCGGCTCCGTCGCTGGCGGCTCCGTCGCTGGCGGCTCCGTCGCTGGCGGCTCCGTCGCTGGCGGCTCCGTCGCTGGCGGCTCCGTCGCTGGCGGCTCCGTCGCTGGCGGCTCCGTCGCTGGCGGCTCCGTCGCTGGCGGCTCCGTCGCTGGCGGCTCCGTCGCTGGCGGCTCCGTCGCTGGCGGCTCCGTCGCTGGCGGCTCCGTCGCTGGCGGCTCCGTCGCTGGCGGCTCCGTCGCTGGCGGCTCCGTCGCTGGCGGCTCCGTCGCTGGCGGCTCCGTCGCTGGCGGCTCCGTCGCTGGCGGCTCCGTCGCTGGCGGCTCCGTCGCTGGCGGCTCCGTCGCTGGCGGCTCCGTCGCTGGCGGCTCCGTCGCTGGCGGCTCCGTCGCTGGCGGCTCCGTCGCTGGCGGCTCCGTCGCTGGCGGCTCCGTCGCTGGCGGCTCCGTCGCTGGCGGCTCCGTCGCTGGCGGCTCCGTCGCTGGCGGCTCCGTCGCTGGCGGCTCCGTCGCTGGCGGCTCCGTCGCTGGCGGCTCCGTCGCTGGCGGCTCCGTCGCTGGCGGCTCCGTCGCTGGTGTCCAGCGACGCAATCGCCGAGTCTGACCGAGGTCTATTGCGTATACAGTAAAGAATACCAAGCAGTGCTCCAATGTCACCTGTTGCCCTTCCTTAGCGAAGCGGAGCGAAAATTGCATTTTTAGCAACAGGACCACGTGTCTTTCGATGCTTCGCAATCTACCAAAGAATGGCCTTAACCAAATGGTGCTGAAGCGATAGATTGGCTTGTGTGTCCTCCTTACTGCAAACCCTATAGGGAGCCCTTGATCAAGGCGTTAACTTTAGCAACCGGCAGTATAATACCGCGGATGAACTGAAGGCGGCGGTAGAGGCTATTTGGGCCGACAGCGACGAAACAGCTATGCCAAACGTGGTTCAGATTATGCCGGACAGGATGTTTGAGCTAATTAGAAACTCTGGAGGCCCCACTGATTTCTAATCTCAGCTATGTTTTTGTCTTTTGTTAAGTGTGCACATACTTTTGAAACAAACGAAAAAAAATTCCATACAGCTTTTTTTTTCGAAAAGTACGATGATATTTATTGTTTTACTTTCACTGATAAGTTATCAACTACGAGAAATCGATTGAGGAGGATTTCATAGCACGAAGCCCCTTAGTTGACTTCTAAACATGAACCTTTGAAACGCACTGTATAGATGTCCGCTTTCCATACCTAATCCTCCTCACTATAAGACACTTCGTTTGTCTACCATTAAATTTGGTATGCAACTGAAAAAAAAACCACCTGATCTGAATGGATTCAGTACAAAGCGACAGAGGGATAGGTCAAGATGCATGAAACATGCATTAGCCAAACGTAGCCGTCTACGGTGGGAAAAGCGTGCGCTGAAATTAGCGGTGCCGAACCTGATCCGATTACAGAAAAAGCCCGAAAGTGGAAAATGAATCAAAAGTGCCTAGGTCTTATGGAACACCACACCGCGGTAGAAAGGGCGTTCCCTAAATAGAAGAAGATCATAACACGGTAATAACAAGGTCTCCGATGCAGAAAAAAATTGTAGGGAGAATTACATAAGGCCTACAAAGCACACCTGAAATGAGCGCAGGACCACTTGCAATGAGCGGAGCAGATACCTAATTGAGGCGGTTTCTATAAACCCTCATGATTCGTTTGAAGAAGCTAGCAGGCCACCGTCGAAGTGGTCTGGGGTCAATTCAAAGAATTTCAATAACCTATTCCACATCGCCGAAGAACCGTGTCGCGTGACAGCATGCGCCGACTAGTTACTTTATTAACACCTGCCAGCCAATGAGTTTCCGAATGGAGGTCTAACTAACCAATAAAAGAGGACAAGTGACTCCTGACGACTGATCATCATCATAGCACTTTTCAACAACACATATAACTGACAAAGAAAGAGCACATTAAGCAAATCAAAAAAATCCACCTGAAGAAACTGCATCCTTTCCCTCGCTACTGATATGTAGGGGAGTAGAAAAAGTACTTTTCTGCCTGTCAAAGCCAAACGAAGGGCTGAAAAATTTATTAGCAGTCATTTTGAAAACCTCTAATAACGTGAACTCTACCTATAAGTTCGGCAACAATGCTCTTCCCAGCACTGGTTGGAGCAGTATATACAATGTTGCAGTCATTTGCCTCTGCAAACTCCAAGACATCCGATTGCCATTCGAATAATTCTTTGATATTCTAAATCAAAAACAGTGATAAAAAGGACGCAACAAGAAACAGATACATAAGGACAAAATTAAATCTAACGATAGCCGGGGTTACAGCAAAGAGAATTCACCAGAATACTCCATCTATCTGCAAAACTACACACCGTCGAGAGTCGGCTAGAAGCGCATTGCGGTTATCCTCTATTCTAGCCCAATAGCTTCTGGATGGCCATGCAAACCGATGTAGCACTCGCACTAGCCATTCCTGCCCTGACTCTTCAGCGCCGACGCCGCGTCAAGTATATTTTCAAGGAGAGGCGTACTTGTTCAAATCTAAAGAGGTGGGGGGATCGTATCTAGACAAAAGTGGCCGTTTCGTATAGAAATGATAGCGTGAAACTTGCAATCTGCTGTTTAAGAAGTCTCAAATACCACACCTCGACGCAAATAAGAACTGTGAGGGCTACTTTGATGGGAGAGGATAGCCTCATATCAAAATCTCCCACGTAAAGACTCACCCTGCGCCGCAATGTTTCCACTCTCTACCATCCACCATGTGCCGTGCGAGCCACCACATTCACCGATCTCACTAATTTTTTTCGTTGTTTTTTGCAGACATTCAACTCCATTGTGGGTTTCTGGCTGGGGTGCGGGACTTTTGGCTCGTCCGGACTGGCACGCGGCGAGTTGCGCGGCGGCACGCGCGGCGATCTGGACGGGACAAGGCTTCGCGGGTTCTTCGGGTAGAATTCAACACGTTAATGCGTGTGCAGATTGCGAATAAACTCCGCATGGTTCTGCTGTTTGAAAATCTTTCCGCTCACGGGGATTGGGGCAGCAGTATCGGTGAGGAGAATTCAGCGCAAGAGATGAGTGAGGACCCTCATGTAAATGTAACTACTACCATCAAAGCAAATAAGAGTCACTAAAATTGGGAGTTCTTGTTGAGGTTTAATGTCAACTATATATGTTTTGCTGATCGAGGCGCTCACGTCCAGAGGAGAAACATTCAAAACAAACAACAAAACAGGGTCAGGGTCGATGGTAGGTGACACTAGGGACTAAGCCCAGCAGAGGGGAAGAACGCCAGGGAACCCTTCTGCTGGGCTTGGTCCTAGGGTAGCTCTATCCCCACGAATCACTTCTCCTCCCTAAGTCTCGGTCCCAAACACAGTAACTGTCTCAAGCACATCCCCCAAATGGAACGTCCCCCCCCCAACAACATGACCCCCATGATTGCCATAACAGCACTACGCTACTTAGCACTACACTAGCACTACACTACGCTACAGACTTGCGGATTTTATCCGCAATCTTCACACGTTGACGTGTTAAAGTTCTCGCGATGTGTCGGGATTGCCGCGCCGCTCGCCGCACAATTTGCCGCATGCCAACCTTGACGAGCCAAAAGTCCGTCGCCCTTCTGGCTAGGAGGAGCTTCTGTGCAATGTTCTACATTTATCTACTATAATATCGCATGATTATGGAATAATCGCCATCAAAAGCAGACGTAAAAATACGAAATAAAAGCATTCCTGTCGAAGATGCATTTTGTAACGCCTATTAATTGCGCTTGGATCGAAACCATTCATTCCGGGTGATGCAAGAATACGCGAGTTTGGTTGTTGTGATATGATTACACTAGTATGAGCCGTGTGCGCCTATAGAAACACTTCCAGGAGTTTTCACCATATACATAAAGGATAGAACGGGATTTCTATTCATAAAATTAACGGTCAGCGTAAGTCTTGACACTTTTATCCGTAAGATAGCAACGTGAGCACCGCTATCTCGTGAATAAAAACTCACATCCATGAATTATGATTGGTAAATACCTTGGATGGCATAAAATAATTCCAACCACGTTCAATATTGAACACATCTGGAGGTACGATAGTAGAATTTTGACTAAATGTTGCCTTATAACAATGAGAAAAAAACAGCTTTACTCATGCTGGCTGCAGGGGCCGTCAGTTTCTTTACCAAGTTGTTGTCCGTGGACCTGCATTTCGTCATCGTTACCTCACCTTTTCTGAGTAAGCGGCTACAATTTCCGAAGGTGTCCAAGCAGGAAACGACTTCCGATTATCGGTCATCTAGAACTGATTTCGCAAGAATCCATGATACGGTTAGAAGTCTGTTCCAGCAAATATTATTACGTCAAGCGTATCAGCACAAGAGTATGCATCACACGAAGAGTTTGAATAATTCTTTAATATACAGCATACTGAAATCTGCACAGGAATAGCCACAAATACCTAGTCTACAATGAGGAGTAACTAGGAAAGCCTAAATAGTTTAACGATATTATATACAGCTGTAAGTTAGTATCACTTTTCATGAAGACGGTAAAGGTCCAAGCGTGGCATCAATATGAGGAACAAGCCCGGAAACCAAGGTAGCTCTCCTCGCAGAATTCCCGAGGTCAGTCTGGAAAGTCATTGAAATGCATTGTAGCATTGTAGTGAAACTAATGAACTTGTTGATCACTGTTACCGTCTGGAGGTAATCAAAAGTGTCTACGAACACACTACATTATTAATGATTCTGATATATAAGTCAAAAACTTCTCACCACTTTCCCCACATCTCCACTTTCGTAATTACCTGTAGATGGTGTTTCCATAACAAATGTTTGATCCATGGCATTCTGTAATGTACTTTCTTTTACTTCAGCCCAACAAAAAGCGTTTCATATGAGACAAAAACCTCTTTATCAGGCGTATCACCGCGTGAAGAAGGTGGTTCATGCAACATCATTGATAATCGGCGACTGCGAGGTGAAACAGGGCCATCAGGTTCTTGGCATCGACTCAAATCTTGTATAGGCGACAAATCGGTCCTAAAAATTTTCGTCATACGTTTCTCTGAATGAAACAATAGCAGCAGTACGAGCATACACTATTCTCGTCCTTCTCTTTCTATTTCCTTTTTTCCTCAAGTGATGAGAGACGTCCAACATGCTATCTTCCTCCTCTGAGCCAGGTTCCACCTCTTTGATAGGATTTTTTACCTTAGAAATAGATTTTAAAAGCGAAAAAATTCATCAACCGCTCAAAAGTCCTTCACATCATTATTTGAAAGCCTTTTAAAAACGTGAATAGAACATTTACATTTCCAAATCTATCAATGAGCACATGACGAGAAGAACGTGTACGACGCTCCTCCTCCGTTGTCAAAGTCACTGGGCTCATGCGTTCCATGCACGATGACGATCGAGAACGTCCCAAACCAGACTGAAAAACAGAAAGGGGATAGAACACACAAATGAAGAAGCTTCGTGAAGCCTACTTAATAAAATTACATGCCAACGTTGAAAAAGAAAAAATGTTTGTTCAAACCTTTCGCTTCTTCGAATCTCCTTTAATCTCACGCATTCGCTCAATATCGTCACGTAACTGCTTCATTTCCTCGACGACGCCGCTATCAACTACTTTAGAAGTGCTCACCAAAGTCATTAAGTTCATATACTGAAAAAAGCTTCTAATGTCTTCTGAAATAATGCGATTCATTTGCTATGTTCGCTCCACTTCACCATCAGATAAAATTAGGTCGTGAAGAAAGTTCTTGCGCTTTTGGACCTTGATTTTCAAATGCCTGTATCTCGGCTCATTCGAAACCTTTTTGATTGGAGTAAAGACTGTTAGAATCCACAAACCTCTGCCAATAATAGCTGCGTTGAATCAGCCCGGTAGTGCAGAATACTGGAGCTCTAGAGACGATGAACCCGGCGGAGGTCGTTTCCGCATCATGTTGGTTTTTGAAGCATAACTCTTTGGAGAAGCTATCCAGGTAGTCGAGAAAGTGACAAATTATAGGCAAAAGGTCTACCGAGTAGGATGTTCGCAGGACTAATTCGTAGCCAATCTTGTCAACTTCTGCAGGGTTGGTTGTGGAATGTGCGTCCGAGCTACCTGTCAGGGACGAGCCGGTTCCTTTATAATGAGGAATTTCGAGCATATGTGCCAGAGTTCTAGGAGTAGTTTGACACATTATCAGGAGTACTTTTTCCACATTAACAGATCCACCTGGTTACGAAAAGCTAGACCAGCCGCTGACCTTATGAAAGTCACCTCAACCTTCCTTCAGTGAAGTTTCACTTTTGCAAAGTTTGTAGAGCCTGATCGCGGTCGATCACTTCACCAAAGGTTCGTATTCTGTAGCAAAGAATCCGTTCTTTGTCGTGCGTCGCAAATGATCAAAAAGTCAGGTCGTTTTCATGGCATGAAACAAGCTAGAACGCGGCGAACCCTTCAAAATGGTGAGCTGTCGCGGCACGCCCTATTTGAGTTTTTGTGACTTTCCAGCTCTTCCCGTGCAACAGGAAAACACAATGCAAGTGCAATTAGTGTATGGGGAACCCTCCC